GTCCCGCTAGAGGGCGGGCGGGCGGGGCGGGCTGGGCGGAGGGTGGGGGCAGCTGAGCACCGGGTCAGCCAGGGGGCCCAGGGCTCAGCGGGCCTGGAGCCCCGGCGCCGCGGGCTCTTGAGGCTCCCGGAGGCCGGCTCCAGCGTCTACGGCCACACCACCCTGAACGCGCCCGATCTCGTCTGATCTCGGAAGCTAAGCAGGGTCGGGCCTGGTTAGTACTTGGATGGGAGACCGCCTGGGAATACCGGGTGCTGTAGGCTTTTGATTGCCATTTTTTGAGCCCGCCCCATCAGCCCTTTGGCGGTGTGGGGGGAACCTCCCATCGCCCCCGCGGGGCTACTCTCAGAACTGAACCCCCACCCCCCCCCCCCCCCCCCCCCACCCTCGTTCGCCGGCAAGACTTAGGAAATGGGGTCTCGCGCCCAACCGACAGCAGCCCTGCGTTGCAGGGGCGTGTCTCTTGCGTTCTCCCGCACCCGTCGTGCAATCCCCAAGCGCTCTGTGCTCTGCGGGGGCAACAGGGGACCCACACCCGGGGGAACCCATCGAACCCCCGGTGCTGCGGACGGAGGTAGCTCCCCAACTGCTAAGGGAACCCCGCGGGCCCCACCAAAGGCCCAGGCCGCCCCTCGCTTTGTGCCATCCCTGGGGGGGGGGGGGGGGGGGGGGGCTTCGTCCTACCCGGTGGCGGTGGACACCCCCTTCCGCCTTTCAGGCAATCGCACCCCCAAAGGAAGGCGCCCTCCTGCGTCTTTTCGAGGCTCAGGAGATGGGCGGGCCAGAGACAGCTGATGGCTGTGCAAGAAGAGACCTGGTCCGGGCCGGGGCGGCTGGTGTGCGGAGTCGGGTGGCGGAGCACCAGGTCGGGGTCGGTCGGGAGCGGGGTGCGGGGTGCGGGGACAGGGCTTTTTGATGTTTCTCTTTTCCTTGCCCAAGCTCCGCCCCGTGGCCCAGGCAGGGCCGGCCCTGAGGTCCACTAGGACGCCCGCCCCCTTCCTGCCACTCTGCAGCACTCCACCTCCCCACCCCCAAACACCCACCCTGGGCCCAGGAGAGCGGCTCGGCCACTCCCCTCCTCGCCTTGGCGGTGTTGAGGGTTTGGTGGGGGGACCCCTGGGGCTACTCTTGGATCCCCCACCCCCGGCCACCACGACCTCCACCCCCAATCAGGGAAAGGGGTCTCCCGCCTGACAGAGGGCACCCCTGGATGGGAGGGAAGTGTCTGTGACGCTAGTGGAGGTGGCTCCAGCGGGTTTGGCTCAGTGGACAGAGCGCAGGCCTGTGGATGGAAGGGTCTCGGCTTGGATTGGGGTCAAGGGCGCTTACCTCCCTTGCAGGCTGGATCCCTGCCCCCTCGGGGCGCCTGCCGGAGGCAACCAATCCAGGTGTCTCCCTCACATCCATGTTTCTGTCTGCCTCTCCCGGTTTTTTCCAGTCTCCCTAAAAGTCAAGGTAGAGATATCCTGGCCGAGGATTACGAGAAATAATCAAATAATCAAATAAATAAATAAATAAATAAATAGATAGATAAATAAATAAATACATAGATAAATAAATAAATATATAAATATATAAATAAAAAAATAATGAGTAAATGCAGGTGTAACCGCTGAACACTCTCGGGGAATCTGATATGTGGCTCTCCTGGGTCCTCTTCATCCCGTGGGGACAGCGCCCTCTGTACCCACCCTCAACCCTGGGCCCACTCCGACTGCCGGTGCTCTGGTCTCTAGCTCCGGACAAGGATTAGAAGGAGTTGTACTAGTGCCACTGAGTCTCCATGACCACCTGGGTGGAGCTCTGATAAGGCAACGCCTGGTGTCCGGGCCATTGGAAAATTGCCTGGGTCTCACCACAGTAGGAAAACCCACCATGAAGTCATTTTCCCTGATCAGGTGCACAGGGTTGTCTGAATAGACTTCCAGCCATGAAGGAATAAAATGAGCCCTCAACCCCTAGGATTTCCAGAGGGTACGGGACCTTGGTCCCCAGCACTCACTTCCTCTTATGCCCCCCATGACCCGAGGTAGGCACTTGAGAGACCCAGCAAACCACCCCTCCTGCAGTTTCTTCAGCTCCAGCGCAAACACACACACACACACACACACACACACACACACGCAACGCACGCGCGCACACACACACACACACACACACACACACACACACACAGTGGCAAGGACGGATATGACGCCCTCAAGTGCCCCCAGTTGTGGCCTCCCTGGGATTGGCCAACGCTAGGCTGTCCTAAGTTACCTGAGGCTACACACCGCTCAAGGTCAGCAGGCGTCAGAAGGGAGACTAGAGCCACTGTCTGCGTGAGTGAAACAGTTTTGCTGGAAGCTTTTCCAAAGGCACACCCCAAGGACATCTGGAGACCAGTGGAGAGCATCCTGCTCTCTCCCAGGTCTCCAGTCAAGTGAGGTGATAGGGGCCTGTCTCAGGAATGTGGTGCCTGGTGACCAGAGTTCTAGCTTCTGTATTGTCCTGTCACTGAGGAAGTGACATAAAGTTTGCAGGGTTCCGTTACCTGTATGTGTTCCTTTAAGCACACTTGCCCGGAAAGCCCCCTGGGCTTTTGACTGACACCCCCAGAAATACTCCAAGTTCTCCAACTCAGCTTTCCCCTCCCCCAGCTCCCCGCTCTTGCCGCCAGGGGCCTAGCGTTCAGGAGAGCCCAGTGAGACCTGTGTTGTCTGATCGGTTTAGTGTCCTGGCAAAGCCACTGTGTCCTCCTGGGCCTTCCCAGGGACCCTGCCGACACACACGCGAGGGATGATGCAGGAAACAATCTTCGAGAGGCCCGGACCGCTGCATATGACATCAAACCTGCCACACCTGTGGGCCTTGCGACCTGCGCCGGATGCAAAAACTCAGAGAGGGCCAGATCAGTAGACGGGGTGGGATGTGGCCTGGACGGCCGCTTCCAACAGGCCTGGGCTTCAGCACTGCGGTCCTGGTAGAGGCACACCGCCCTGGGCCACCTGGCTAGGTCTCCACCTGGAAGAGGGTGAGATGGTGGAAACGAAGGGGTGACCACCCAGGCCATATCCCCTCCAGGGTCTCCCAGGACACGGCGCATCAGACCTGGGGCTGGCTGTGGGCCTACATGGTGGGCGGCCTCCACCTCCACTCCCCCTGGGCCCTGCCTAGGCACGTGCACATTTTTGGTCCCAACTACGTGTTTAGCCATTGGATTCTCCCCAACACAATGCTGCCATGGGGATGTGAAGTGGGCTCCCTAGCGGAGCCCAGATGGAGAGGGCGACCCCTGCCGGGCTCACCGGGACATCGCACCCCCACCCCCCCCCCCCCCCCCCCCCCCCACCACCACCACCCACCGACCCACCCGGGAGCGGCTCTCCCGCGTCTCACATCACCTGGAAGCTCAGAAGGTGGATGAGAGGCAGCTGGTGGCTCAGCAGGGACAGATCTCGTCCCGGCTAGAGGGCGGGCGGGCGGGGGGGGCGGGGGGGGGGGGGGGGGCAGCTGAGCACCGGGTCAGCCAGGGGGCCCAGGGCTCAGCGGGCCTGGAGCCCCGGCGGCGCCGCCGCGGGCTCTTGAGGCTCCCGGAGGCCGGCTCCAGCGTCTACGGCCACACCACCCTGAACGCGCCCGATCTCGTCTGATCTCGGAAGCTAAGCAGGGTCGGGCCTGGTTAGTACTTGGATGGGAGACCGCCTGGGAATACCGGGTGCTGTAGGCTTTTGATTGCCATTTTTTGAGCCCGCCCCATCAGCCCTTTGGCGGTGTGGGGGGAACCTCCCATCGCCCCCGCGGGGCTACTCTCAGAACTGAACCCCCACCCCCGCCCCCGCCCACCCTCGTTCGCCGTCAAGACTTAGGAAATGGGGTCTCGCGCCCAACCGACAGCAGCCCTGCGTTGCAGGGGCGTGTCTCTTGCGTTCTCCCGCACCCGTCGTGCAATCCCCAAGCGCTCTGTGCTCTGCGGGGGCAACAGGGGACCCACACCCGGGGGAACCCATCGAACCCCCGGTGCTGCGGACGGAGGTAGCTCCCCAACTGCTAAGGGAACCCCGCGGGCCCCACCAAAGGCCCAGGCCGCCCCTCGCTTTGTGCCATCCCTGGGGGGGGGGGGGGGGGGGGGCTTCGTCCTACCCGGTGGCGGTGGACACCCCCTTCCGCCTTTCAGGCAATCGCACCCCCAAAGGAAGGCGCCCTCCTGCGTCTTTTCGAGGCTCAGGAGATGGGCGGGCCAGAGACAGCTGATGGCTGTGCAAGAAGAGACCTGGTCCGGGCCGGGGCGGCTGGTGTGCGGAGTCGGGTGGCGGAGCACCAGGTCGGGGGTCGGTCGGGGAGCGGGGTGCGGGGTGCGGGGACAGGGCTTTTTGATGTTTCTCTTTTCCTTGCCCAAGCTGCGCCCCGTGGCCAAGGCAGGGCCGGCCCTGAGGTCCACTAGGACGCCCGCCCCCTTCCTGCCACTCTGCAGCACTCCACCTCCCCACCCCCAAACACCCACCCTGGGCCCAGGAGAGCGGCTCGGCCACTCCCCTCCTCGCCTTGGCGGTGTTGAGGGTTTGGTGGGGGGACCCCTGGGGCTACTCTTGGATCCCCCACCCCCGGCCACCACGACCTCCACCCCCAATCAGAGAAAGGGGTCTCCCGCCTGACAGAGGCCACCCCTGGATGGGAGGGAAGTGTCTGTGACGCTAGGGGAGGAGGCTCCAGCGGGTTTGGCTCAGTGGACAGAGCGCAGGCCTGTGGATGGAAGGGTCTCGGGTTCGATTGGGGTCAAGGGCACTTACCTCCCTTGCAGGCTGGATCCCTGCCACCTCGGGGCGCCTGCCGGAGGCAGGCACACCAATCCAGGTGTCTCCCTCACATCCATGTTTCTCTCTGCCTCTCCCGGTTTTTTCCAGTCTCCCTAAAAGTCAAGGGAGAGATATCCTGGCCGAGGATTACGAGAAATCATTAAATAAATGAATTATATATAAATGCAGGTGGAACCGCTGGACACTCTCGGGGGAATCTGATATGTGGCTCTCCGGGGTCCTCTTCATCCCGTGGGGACAGCGCCCTCTGTACCCACCCTCAACCCTGGGCCCACCCCGACTGCCGGAGCTCTGGTCTCTAGCTCCCGGACAAGGATTGGAAGGAGTTGTACTAGTGCCACTGAGTCTCCATGACCACCTGGGTGGAGCTCTGATAAGGCAACGCCTGGTGTCCGGGCCATTGGAAAATTGCCTGGGTCTCACCACAGTAGGAAAACCCACCATGAAGTCATTTTCCCGGATCAGGTGCACAGGGTTGTCTGAATAGACTTCCAGCCATGAAGGAATAAAATGAGCCCTCAACCCCTAGGATTTCCAGAGGGTACGGGACCTTGGTCCCCAGCACTCACTTCCTCTTATGCCCCCCATGACCCGAGGTAGGCACTTGAGAGACCCAGCCAACCACCCCTCCTGCAGTTTCTTCCGCTCCAGCACAAACACACACACACACACACACACACACACACACGCACGCACGCACGCACACAAACACACAAACACACGCACGCACGCACACACAGTGGCAAGGACGGATATGACGCCCTCAAGTGCCCCCAGTTGTGGCCTCCCTGGGATTGGCCAACGCTAGGCTGTCCTAAGTTACCTGAGGCTACACACCGCTCAAGGTCAGCAGGCGTCAGAAGGGAGACTAGAGCCACTGTCTGCGTGAGTGAAACAGTTTTGCTGGAAGCTTTTCCAAAGGCACACCCCAAGGACATCTGGAGACCAGTGGAGAGCATCCTGCTCTCTCCCAGGTCTCCAGTCAAGTGAGGTGATAGGGGCCTGTCTCAGGAATGTGGTGCCTGGTGACCAGAGTTCTAGCTTCTGTATTGTCCTGTCACTGAGGAAGTGACATAAAGTTTGCAGGGTTCCGTTACCTGTATGTGTTCCTTTAAGCACACTTGCCCGGAAAGCCCCCTGGGCTTTTGACTGACACCCCCAGAAATACTCCAAGTTCTCCAACTCAGCTTTCCCCTCCCCCAGCTCCCGGCTCTTGCCGCCAGGGGCCTAGCGTTCAGGAGAGCCCAGTGAGACCTGTGTTGTCTGATCGGTTTAGTGTCCTGGCAAAGCCACTGTGTCCTCCTGGGCCTTCCCAGGGACCCTGCCGACACACACGCGAGGGATGATGCAGGAAACAATCTTCGAGAGGCCCGGACCGCTGCATATGACATCAAACCTGCCACACCTGTGGGCCTTGCGACCTGCGCCGGATGCAAAAACTCAGAGAGGGCCAGATCAGTAGACGGGGTGGGATGTGGCCTGGACGGCCGCTTCCAACAGGCCTGGGCTTCAGCACTGCGGTCCTGGTAGAGGCACACCGCCCTGGGCCACCTGGCTAGGTCTCCACCTGGAAGAGGGTGAGATGGTGGAAACGAAGGGGTGACCACCCAGGCCATATCCCCTCCCAGGGTCTCCCAGGACACGGCGCATCAGACCTGGGGCTGGCTGTGGGCCTACATGGTGGGCGGCCTCCACCTCCACTCCCCCTGGGCCCTGCCTAGGCACGTGCACATTTTTGGTCCCAACTACGTGTTTAGCCATTGGATTCTCCCCAACACAATGCTGCCATGGGGATGTGAAGTGGGCTCCCTAGCGGAGCCCAGATGGAGAGGGCGACCCCTGCCGGGCTCACCGGGACATCGCACCCCCTCCCCCGCCCCCACCCCCCACCCGGGAGCGGCTCTCCCGCGTCTCACATCACCTGGAAGCTCAGAAGGTGGATGAGAGGCAGCTGGTGGCTCAGCAGGGACAGATCTCGTCCCGGCTAGAGGGCGGGCGGGCGGGCGGGCGGGCTGGGCGGAGGGTGGGGGCAGCTGAGCACCGGGTCAGCCAGGGGGCCCAGGGCTCAGCGGGCCTGGAGCCCCGGCGGCGCCCCCGCCGGCGCTTGAGGCTCCCGGAGGCCGGCTCCAGCGTCTACGGCCACACCACCCTGAACGCGCCCGATCTCGTCTGATCTCGGAAGCTAAGCAGGGTCGGGCCTGGTTAGTACTTGGATGGGAGACCGC